ACAAAATTACACAAGGATAATTTCGATAAAAACAGAAATGTTCGACCAGCAAACATGCAACCTACTTTACATGGACCTAGCCAAGAGGAGCTTTTCTTTGGTCAAGTACATATAAAGAATGGCATCAAAAAAAGGTCTAGTCTTCATCTAAATTTTGAAATTTCAGAATAGCAGTCCCAGTACAATTGAGCGATTTGCATTATATTCTTCACTATCTTTTTCTACTTGCCCCTTCTGCTAGTACTACTGCCTAGTTTTGGTGCTGAGGGTTGGGGTGGAATGATTCACGTATAACCTTGCAGGGCATGACAAATCAAATTTACCATGCCACGTGAAGAGTAGAAATGGATATCATACCTCCTCATCGCACCACGGAGCCAGAATCATTTTCTTTTGTATCAGTGCTTCTGCAAATTCTTCCCATGTATTTACAGTGTGAATGCAGGCATCTCTTTTTTGTTTTGCAACTTCAAAGAGACTTTTCTGGATGTCATTGAGCAAGTCGTTCACTTGTTCAACCAAATTGGCCATAGGAATATCGATTTTGGCCGAATTATCACGTCGGACAGCACGCACCTGATAGAAAAACAAAAACTCAGTAGGAAGCAAAGTAAGGATCAAGTATGACAGAAATAATGAATAAAGACACCAAATGGGTACATTTAATATACCTTTTCTTAGTATAAATTAATTTATGCAGTGGTATATCCTGAAAATATTAAAAAATTGCAGAATTTAGTTCTGATACCTGATTATTAGCCAAGTCCTTGGGGCCTATTTCAATCCTAAGAGGAACACCTTTCATTTCCCAATTTGAATACTTCCATCCAGGTGAGTAGTTATCTCGAGAATCCACCTCGGCGCGAATGCCAGATTCATTCAAGGTCTTTACAGTGGCTTCACATGCATCAAAGAAAGGAACTCACAACCGTAGGAATATTGGTACGGGGATTACGATTACTTGGATAGAAGCTATTTTAGGAGGCAGCACCAAGCCTTTATCATCCCCGTGAACCATTATCATTACCCCTATCTGCCAAAAGTTAAAAGAACAAAAAAGGAAAAACAAATATCAATAAGCACTGTGGCAGAAAGAAATTGTGCTAATAAAACCAGACTTGAGATTTAGGGCCCGTTTCATTTTCAAACTCAAATACGTTTTCTTCGTGTTTCCGTTTTTAGTTTTGAGTTTTGAATTCATTTTGGGTTTTGTGGTTTGAGTGTCCATTTTGAAATTGCTGAAAATGCGTTCTTTTTATCATTTTTGAAAAATTATTTTCAAAAATAAAAAAATGAAGTTTTGGCTTGATTTTAACTAAAAACAGCCCAAACGACTTTTTGGCATATTTCGTTTCTTTGTAAATTTAAACTCGTTTTTGAAAATTCGTTTCTAAAAATAGGTAAGTAAACGCGTTTTCAGTGTTTTCGAAAACTGAAAACAGCAAAGAGAACCGGCCCTAACATTTTCTATGAAAAATTTGAAAGAAAGGAATATGAAAAGGGAGGCAAATCCCAATTTAAGTTGCATCCACCTTCAAACAGGAATACGCACACCACTTTAAAGAATAAGATGATAAGAGTGTAGACTACTCTATCTGATTTGAACAGCATACCTTAAATGATTTTCAAGAAAACACTAAAAAAGCCTTTGTCCTTTGAAAAGATTGTTGCGAGAACCTTGAAAAAGTATAAAGACAAAAGGAAAGAATATCCTGCTTACTGTTCTGGTAGTATAAGCCCATGAATTCTGCCAGACCATAGCCTTTTCTCCTTTATCATTTTCAAAATTGATCTCAAACATTTTAGCAAAATTTTGGCCCAAACAGTGTGATGTTGCACCTTGAATACCACGCCCCGTGTTCGGGATAAAAGCCTGGCAAACAATGCATCAAGTCATGTAAAAATTTGGTAACAAAGTTCCCTTCACAAAAAGAGACCACTCACTTGGAATAATTAGAATTGAATAAGATAGTGTCATTATTAAACACCTCAACAGTAGTGGTGTAAAGTCCACCAGCAAACTTCTCATGCTCGCTTTTCTTGCCCTTAATAACAGGTACAGCCAAGAATTCTTCATAAATACGTCTATACAATTCCAGAATCTCAAGGACCTGAAACAAATACAATAAGAAAACTGCTCAACAAAAACAATGAACCGCTAATTCTGTTTAAATATCCTGACCATGCTACGAAAACTGAAACATTACTCATAAAACATAAATTAGAAATCATCAAATATATTTTTTTCCAACAACTATCCACGAAACTACATGTAGAGAATAAGGGCCTGATCTCTTTGTTGTTTCCGGCCATTTTCAGTTTTCGAAACACTGAAAACACGTTTACTTACCTATTTTCAGAATCGAATTTCCAAAAACGAGTTTAAAATTTACAAAGAAAACGGAAAACGCCAAAAAAGTCGTTTTGGCTCTTTTCAGTTAAAACCAAGCCAAAATTTCACTTTTTTTAATTTTTGAAAACAATTTTTCAAAACGACAAAAAGAACGTGTTTTCAGTAATCTCAAAATGGACAATCAAAGCATAAAATCCAAAATGAATTCAAAACTCAAAACTCAAATATGAAGAGAATGGCTCCTAAGCATTTCAGCTTTTCAAATTCAAAAAACAAAATGCTTCCAGGTCGGTATCATGGGAATCCTCAAGCCATTTCCTGGAATCTTCTATTAAGACTAAACTACCCATGTCAGTCACTCCATTCTCAAAATAAGGATATTGCAAAAGGTTCCTTTCATTTAAAGAGTAAATAGAGATTTTTGATGAATATGACACTTGGGCATAGACCTGAATCTGATATTCATACCCAACTCCATCAACATTGACTTCATTCTCACACCAATGCCACATTTGCTAAAAGTTTTGCTAGTCAGAAAGAATATGCAGCAGTTAATGGACTCAAAGATACACACGGGGCAAGAAAATAGTTTAATGCCCGCAATGGGATAGGAGTGGGTAATAGTAATCACCAAAAAACTCTCTTGAAGCCAGCACAAAAATAATAGTTTAACGCCGCAGCATGATAGGCATTCCTTGATCCGGCAACAAGAGCTAATGCTGCTCACAAGTTTTAAGTCAAAAAAATCTTCAACCATTGACATCACAAAATTATTGTATATGTACATATTTGGAGTGTCAAAGCTGATGCTAACACAAAAAAAAACCATGAGCCAGAAAGCAGTACTTTGAAAATTGAAGATGACCTAACATGGAAAATGTAAAGCAATAGCAGAGTACGATACCAGATATAGCAGTGAGAAAATGTACTAAGCTTACAGAAAAAGAGAAGCTGGAAATTCTTGTCACTAAAATGCACGTCTTTAAATTGTTCAAACTGTGGATCCACTTTACAAGCAAGATTTAGTCAAAAGTAAAAAGTTCGGAATCTTCATAAAAGCAGTATGCCCTTCTTGCCAAAGAAACTCTCTACTCCTGCAAAATCATAAAGATGATATTACCAATTAAAAGATGACACAACCTGATTATTGACAGTTTTCATTTATTCCCCTTGTCACAAGATATGATTGTTCAATTTTTTAAGAAACAAAAAATGGATAATCCTGGGGATAACAGATCAATCCATTTTTAGTATAAATCTAATACAAATGCTGGGCCTCATGAAATAGAAACTGTATCCTCCTCACAGCAAGACTACTGAACCTGTCCTGCCAAGAAAGCACAAAACTAACTAAAGAGACAAGCTCCCAGAAAAGCACCTGATAAATGGAGTAGGATTGCTAAACTCCCATCTTACAACATTGCACCACTGGTTAAGTCTCAGAGGTAAATCACGGTGTCCCCTAATCCACTTAGAAAAATAAGGATACATAACAGTTTCACTAGTTGGCCGAATGGCAATGGGCACTTCCAGCTCAGATTCTCCTGACTTTGTAACCCATGCAACCTGTAAACAGTTCAAGATCATAGTTATAACCAAGGAATGATGGAGTTCTCATTTCTAGTGGTTGAGATTGCATTTCCAACGGTGGGCTTATTATAGGTGTTAATGTAGAAACTCAATATCATTATATTTTTCAGTAAATATTAATTTAAAGTGATGAAAAATGATTCATGTACAGGAAGGAATATGGAAGGTGCCATCAAACTTGATAGTCACTGATCATGTGCTGCCTCTTTGTCATCGACCCAGAAAGGAAACTAGGCCAAACCAAGAGTTACAGTTATCACCAGAAAATCTCAGACTTTCCAGAAAATAATCCACAAACTTCCAAAAGATACTTAATTATGCTCCAAACTACAGATAAATATGGCGTAGCACACTATAGCCAAGAGCAAAGTAATCTCACCTCTGGAGCAAACCCCTCTATATGATCCTTTTCCTTTTGTAGAACACCAGGGGACACAAAAAGGGGGAAGTAGCAGTTTTTGATTTTCATTTTCTTAATTTCAGCATCAAAGAAGGTCTGCACATTTACATAGGAAACGGATTCAACAGACGTATCTAGAATCAACAAATGAGATAAGAATAAAAAAGGTCAAGGTTATCAAACAGGCAAAATAATTATTAAGCAAGGAAAAATTATAGGACAAAACATTACAACATTCCATGCCCAACAATGATCCAATTTTTTCCTCACGATATTGCAGCTAATAACTTAGGTTTGAAAATAGGAAATGCAAAACATCGTTACTTGTAATGTGCACCTCAAATATTTGGAAATCACATCTAAAGTATATTTTATTGTAAAATAATACACGACTGCCAGTTTCACACATATAATGCAAGTATCTACTACTACTACAACAACAATAAACTGAGTCCTTTCCTCATAGAACTTGGGGTCTATAATGTTAAAAAAAGTCACCACTCTATTCAGTGCACTATTGAATTTACTAAAAGGATCAAAGAAAGCAAAATTAAATGCAATTACATCAAGTAACATATTACCAGTAGAGAGTAGAGTTTCACAAATAATGAAAACTTACTTGCAAGATCTCCCAAATGGACATCGCCCATGGCCGTAAAATATAACAACCAGATATGTCATAGTACTCAATCATCTCACCATTAACGACAACCTATATAGTAAAGGTGAGAAAATGTGATCAAGGCTGCTACGTCGAAAGAATTCCAGTTCTAAAGTTATGAGACTGAAACAAGAAATTGGGAGTCAATTTAATTCACAGATAGCTTTGCAAGGACAAAATTCGTAATAAAAAGAAAATGAGTGAATAAAAATTCATGGAAGCACATACATCATAAAAATAAGTAGCCAGTAGTAAACACAACAAATATACATGCAAGCTCAACATACGACAACATTCAAAAAAGCAGCCAGAAATAGAAAGAAGGCGACCTCAGAATACCACTCTCCAAAGTTGTCATCTTTCTTGACTGAGAGACCTAGGCCAGTCTCTTTCTTCACTTCCTTCTTTTTTCCCTCTGCATAACCAAATCATATTATTTTAAAAGAATACCCACATTGTTTATGCAAATACGCACACACCTCCTCCATAAAGAAGAAAAAATAGATGCAGTGTACTCTACTGTGAGTGCAGATGGATACTCACTGGTGTTGGAACTACTGGCATCTTTGCCTTTACCAGCCATAAGATGATGAATTATACAATTTCACAGCACGGGACAGACCTGTAGACACGAATTTAGGCGAATTAGTAACAATTAAACAGTGAGATCAGGGCGGAGTGTTATATAACTAATCAAAAAAAAGAAACGATAAACAGATCGGCATACATAGAAGGAATGATACTAACTGTGAAAAATTCAAAAGAAAATAAACAAGGCAGCCTCTTGGATTCATTTACATAATTATCACCAGACAAAAGATTGAAAAAAAAATACAGAAACAAATCCATTATCCATCTAAGAATTTATCTAAACAAGCAGTAAGTTTATTAATTCCGTTCTAGCAATAAATTAATACAGTATACAACAAAACACAAAATTGAACTGGAAAAATACAAGAACAGAATGAAGGGGAAGGAAAAAAATGTGTACCAATCGGAAGAGTTTCCTCTCTACGCCGCAATTGCAGAGTCAAATGCGCGCACAGTGGAGAAAGAAGAGGCTATAGCCGCTCTTCTTCCGGTGACCTAATAATGAATTTGTAACGTGGTTGCCACTTGCCTGTATTAAATAAATAAATTCTATTATTACATTAGGGAATATTGTAGGGTTTGTCCTCCATCTATACTTCTTTTAACAACTTGACGTTTAATTTTTTGAGATGTGGCGTCATGTACCTGTTAAAAGTTTTAGTGTTTGGATTTCTATTTTACAACAAATTCGTAAGATTCACAAGTACTATTTCATTTTTCAGCAACATAAAATATATTTAGCAGAGAAAATGAAACTTGAATAGAGGTTATATGTGTTATTGACCTACCATAAAATCACACAGTCAAGGTGTACAATGAATATCGATAACAGTGCACTTCGAGACTAACAAAATTATAAAATAGAATTATACTTTCAATAAAAATAGGTTAAAGTCCAAATTGTTATAAGATATATAAAATAGGGGCTATTGGTGCAATAAATTTTCCCACCTCTAACGGTAAATAAATGTTGAAACCATTTTTTTGAAAAATAAACAAATTTACGAGTCTCGCGATTTTACGGATAATGCAAAACTTATTGAAAAAATTAGTATTAAGAGAGAATTAGGCTTCACCTCGTCGAGATGAATTCGAGCACCATCAATGTCGAGAAAAGTCGTTAAACTTTTGCTATAAAGATTATTTTTATTTATAAATTTTATATGATTCACAACTTTCTTAACATCGTCCTCAACTTATATTCTTCCCAAGAAGCACAGAACGTGTCAACCTCCGCGAGGGAAACTGAATGACATTAGACAACTTTTACCAGTAATCTAACTACAATCACACTATTCATCTTCACATCCAAAATCTTGATAATTGCCAATCTGCGTTAGATACAAACTTCAGAAATCATTTGCACAATTCATAGGATACCCAACAACAAGTGATGGAACTAAACTGAACAGGCAGGATGCACTTGGATCATATTTGATGCGAAGATTGCCCTTCAAAATGCACATGTGCTTAAGAAAAAGCCCGGGCAGGGATGGAGGGAGAGACAGACATAGGCCATACACATTTTTATCATGTCTAGAGAAATTGAAAGCCATAAAAAATTGGATCGAGAAAGATACTGATTAACCGGTGAGCATCAACGTTCCACATGGTATGAAAAACTTCAATTACAAATCTATGAAATGGGCAACCATTAAAAATTGAGTATATCAAAAGAAAAAGGATTTCGGTATCTCTCAGCTTGGTTCTGGTGGCAATATTTTCAAGCTCCTCATCCACTCACAGAAGCTAGGATCATCAAAATGAATAAAACTACTCTTTAGTTTAGTTCGCTGCTCTGGAGTCAAAGTTTGAAGCTGAGGAAATCTTGCCTCCTGCAGTCGTAAGTTACAAAATTTGAGTTTTTTTATCACCTGACAAACTGGAATGTCCTAATGATGATTAACTTGTATTATATTCCACTCCAGAAAACGAAATTCTAGGATAAACAAACTGAAAAAGACTCCAAATAAATTGCAACTTAATTAGCACATACTTGCTCGTAGGGGGGATCTTTGTGTGCAGGTATCAGTCGAGAAACAAAATAACGAGCCTGAGAGCTCCCCTCCTGTTGGAAACCAGAACCACTCAGAATCTTGGTTTATAAAATTAAAAAATCCAGTACTGGCAGAGAATCCAGGGCTCGAATGTAAAGCTTCTTTCCAGAAGGAAAAATGGAGTACCTTAAATGCAAGAATTCTAGGGGCTGGAAATCTTATTTCAGTGAGCTCTTCAGCCAATGTCCTACAAGCTGCCAAAGCTGCAGCACTGTTTCCTTCCTGGGCAGCAAGTTCAGCACCCTGAATAAAAACAGAAAATTGTTACTTATGAAATCCTACACATAAATATAAGAAATATAAGCACCAAACTAAAGATATGTTATTCCCATTTGCTTACAAAACACTGATTTTACAAATATCTATGATAAGTTACTTCGTTATTGAATCGAGTATGAAGTATAAACCAGAGTTAAAAATGGTCACATGCTCACAACTACTGATTTTAAAAGTATACAAGTCAACAGCGAGTTTGGAAGGCTTCAAAGGCTATGTTGTCGCATAAGCATAACAAACAAGTCTTAGATGAATTATCATTTAAGCAGGCCCTAAGATTTCAGCTCTACCCATGCAGGGTCTACGTTCTGCAATCTGCAAGGCTCGGATATGTTGTCAAAAGTACCAATATAACCCCGACATGGTCCCTATTCCCTAATTACCCAAAGCTAAATTACTTGCGCGCTAACTAGAGTTCAGAAAAAACTTCAAGCCCGGCACGTCCTTTGAATTCCTAAATGAAGACAAAAAATATATATTTCAGTGAGAAGTGACTTGAGAATTTTATCCTGAGAGATGAAATGTGTATGTATTATCAACAGATACCATTTCTGATCCATTACTCTATATTCACACGTGTTCACATAGGCTAACACTCACAACAATAAACAAATAATACATAAGCTAGGAACAAAAGTACAATTGGGATAAATTAAATATCCTGATGTCAACCGTTTCATGCATTTGATGTTGGAAACAAAAGGGAAGACACCCCAAACCAAATCAAACCAACAGAACTCAATCAACTAGGCATGATTTTCCCCTCAAGTGCCTCCATTTTAGGTCATAAAGATGACTTCGGTTCAGCTATTTTGCTTAGCTTTGCAGATTAACCATGAAAAGGCAATGATATAATTTTATAGGAGAAACAGTTATAAAAATAAAAATAAAGAAAAAGAAAAAGCACATTAAAAGAGGAAAAATGACAAGATTATGTTGGTCAAACATGAGCAACAGATTAAAGATGCAACCTACTAGGTGGATTTTCTTTTTTCTATATATTAACGGATGGGTTTCGGAAGGCAGGATTGGAGGGGTGGGTGGCCTCTATGCTTGTGATTTACATAGAGCGGGTCCGAAATAATTTCACAGGTGATAAGATCCAAAGAAATCTTTCTTGAGCCCCTTTTTATGGCTCTCAAAAGTTCATCTTCAGGAAAAATTCCTTTTAGTGCATAATAAGTCCCTTTCACGTACAAGCTTTCACCAGCCCGGGGCTAAGATGGCTAAGGTATTTGCCACATGTAGTTTTGAGGCCCAAACAAAATGGTCTGATGCTGCTTGACAGACGACAAAGTCTGCAAGTATAAATCAAGACAAGCATAGGTTGTAACACCCCAAAAGGAGTAGTCACTTTGTCCACTCAACGTATCAGGACAACAGTGGGTTCGGAGGACATGTTCATAGACGTGCAGTAACACCTGCTTTGTCAGCAGTCGTCATGTTGCCCTAATTTTAGTGCTTTTGTTTCGTGCCAAAGCATAGTAACTCCTCACTGCTAAAAATAACATGTTTTCTGGCCCCATTATCATGACACACAAAACTAAGTGATGTTGTTTAGGAGATGGGAACATTTATCTTATTCTTCCATAACAATATATTCTTAACATCCATTGTAAAATATTGAGCAATACATGCATTGTACAGATATTTGATCCTATATTTATTTTCTAAATATTAAGCTTAAAGTTAAAAAAAAAAGTAAACAACGTTAAACTAAAGGTGAATAAATATGAAAACAGTTTCAGCACTCGAACCAAACAACAATTTATAATGCAAAGACCAAATTATATAAGATGCAGCATCATAACATACAAGATGACTTCAAAAAAAAAGGTTTATTGAGTGGCATACCAGCCAAATAAAGACATCAGTGCCATGATCAAGAACAACTGCAGCATCAGATTGCATAGCAAGGTCATAAGCGGGAAGTTCCTCAAAAGTTCCACCTTCCCGGTGCATTAGACAGCGAGGTGCCACCATACGAAGAGATAGATCAAAGGATGCATTGAGGAACAAGCTCCGCAAAACAGACCTCTCATCTTCATGACCAAGTATACTTCCGAGAAGTGGACCTCTTCTGAGATGGAATAGCAGTTCAGGCAATAAAGAGAGCTCCTTGGGAAACCGATAAAACTTTGACTTGGGCATTTGGGAGCCGAACTTATTAGCAATATCTTTAATTCTCTCATCTATCATTTTTTGCATATCGAGAGCATCAGTTGAGTCTTTGGCTCGTAAAAGAGTTCTCTTAGCAATAAGAACCACAGCCACTTCATCCTGAACACTATCTAGATATGCTGAAACACTATCTACGGTAGGCAATCTAACAGTAATCACTCTCGAGACATCAGCTTGATAAATGTTTGAATATTGAATAGCAAACTGAAAGTACACAAAATCACTCTTGATGTCTCCGCTAGTTTCCAATGATACTGCAAAACTTTGTGTTTCTTCAACACTAAGCATCTGTATTGCAAGAGCACCGTCATTTTTAAATGTTTCTTGACTGTCTGTATGTGCTTCCTCGCCAGGACCCACCACCTTACTAACAAAAATATTATCAGAACAACGGATTTCCAATAAACCATGAGAACCTGCAGCCCTTCTAGATGCCCTCTGCAAGTTCACACCAAACGCTTCTCCAAAGTCATCGTGG